AAGAGGGTTATTTTGACAGTTTATGTTTCGATCTCGTTGCGATCAGTCATTCACTTCGACTTGCGGTTTCGATAGTTTGTATTTAAGAGGGTTATTTTGACAGTTTATGTTTTATGTAATATAATGTGGAAGAACAATGGCGCGCGCGAAGCGCGCGCTTGTGTTGTTCTAGTTATTACATAAAATAAGTAATAGAATATAAACACTTTGTAACAAAAGTTAAAATAACCGTGCTTGTATGTACATATTTTGATTTTAAACGAAATTATTTTTTACCTCGAAAAATGGTATTGTCGAAACACGAGAATGTTCGTAAACTCGTTCTTTGAAACTATGTTTTGTGCATGATTGCTAAATTTTCAAAGCAAGATTATAGGTAGATTAATTGTATTTATAATGATTTACCTGTGTAGATTTACTAGTGTCAAAATTATGTTGCGAGCAGGTGTAATTCTACGTTGTAATTATCTGTGGTTAAAATATATATCTCATCACAGCAAGGTTTTTCACACTAGAAATAGATTATACGTATCGCAAACCTTCTACCACGAGGGATTATCGAAAACTGAAGCAATGGGATATCTGTTGTTATCATAATATAAAGCATGATGACAACTGGTAAAGTCGTTACATCTATAAACATTAGATGTTAAACCAATCTTAGCTTTCCAATGAGATCAAGACTATCTTGCTACGATTTGTCTATGCGAAGACATTGATGATTATATCGATTCGCGATCTCAATCTAGGACAGAAGCAGCAGACAGCTCGTATATGCGCGTCTTCTGTACATACATACACAGAGGCTCCAATGGATGGTACGGGAGTGATTTAAAATACAGGTTACACGTAGGTAACACAGGTTTCTGGATGTTCCTTTTCCTGTACTGGCTGCACTAGTTCAGAGTTTATCTTTCTCATTTCAATATGGTGGGAAGAAGATATAAACTCTGAACTAGTGCAGCCAGTTCAGCTAAAAGAAAGCAGACTCTCTTGGTATGTTCTTTCTAGCTGAACTTGCTGCACCAGTTCAGTGTTTAGCTTCTTCTTTCCAATGTAGAAGGAGGAAGACAAACTCTGAACTGGTGCAGCCAGTTCAGCTAAAAAGAACAGACACTCTCTCTTGATATTAACCATCGTATGTCATAACGTCATATAACGTGTTTTCTGAAGATGGACAGAAATATCAACAAGATACTTGACATATCATGGAGATTCGGAGGTGAGATAACAGATTGGGTGAAAGAGAGAAATTGAGATTAGAAGCAATGTTTGTGATTTTAAATTTTTAGGTTATTATCAGGTTATTGCTATTAGATCTGTTAAATAAAAAACAAACATCTTTTGTTTTTTGTTATTTACTACTAATATAAAAATTGTGTTTATTGTATGTCTATTTTAACTCTTACATTTGATTAACTCTAGTACTAAATAATAACAAATAAGGTATGGCATGATTTCATTTTAATATAAGTTATGCAAAGTTTTTTTTCTGAATTGTATTCTTATTTCTAATAGATTATGCATTTTCACAATGACGCTAATGCCAATCATTGATGATTATGCAACTTTTTACTTCTTCCAGTGACCGCAGCGAGTAACGATTCTGACAAAGTCGCAAAATCATTTCTACAACTCAAGTTATGTCTGGACGATAACGGTAAAGTCAGGAATGAGTTTATTGAGATGACAATAGGCCAGTTTTACAAATTTCTACATGATCTAGAAAAGGCAAAATGCAATCTCGATCTGTTATTGTAAAAAAATGTGTATTAAAACAATAATTCTATGTGGATGTACCTGTATTAAGATATTCTTTTCATCACTCCGAAGTTCTAAGAATTTACTGATGTTCCTGTACAATGAAATGAAAGTCGGTCGAGGTCGACGACGCACAGATGATTCGTCAATCAGTGACTGTCCGATAAAACGCGTCAGGATGATCGCATCCCAGAAGTGATCGTCTCCGACATCGGACTATCCGATCGCGATGACCCACGGCTTTTTGAGAAACTTTTATATATTTTCTTATAATGTGCATTATTAAAAAAAAAAGATATGCATTATCTCTAGGAAGATAGTAAGGCCAGTCCCTTTTCAAGACTGTCTCAAGATCATTTTCAAATACTTTGTAGCCAATGAAATGATTCGTACAGCGTTCAGCAACATTCGTTCTTTACAAAGATAAAAACAATGACTCATCTATGTGTCTTATTGCAACAACTAATACGTGGTGACGTTATGAATTTATGTGTATATATAATTGTGAAATGCAATTTTGTTCCCTATGACATTTTTATTTCCATCAGTCTCAACACTGCAGTTTGATTCAATAAAACCTTGTATATATTTTAACCTTGTATACATTCTAAGATTATAATTTTTCAACAAGTAATTGAATATATATTATATAATAAATAAAAGCGTCAGGAATTCGTACAAAATAATTGACAATCTTCATCAGTTATGCTAGATTTATCATTTCGACGAGTTTCGCAAAACAGTGTAAAAGTGAAATTAGTCATGGATCACGTTAGAGAAGTTAATAATACATGTATAAATAATGTCAGCTAAGTACCTCACGTACTGATAAATGTTCCTTTTTTATACATATAGGCAAATATATTTCCACAAATATTTTCACGTGTATGTATGTACTACATGTAATATTTATGACTTATAAATATTAGATTAAAACTTAATCAAAGAATTAGAATCAGATAACTCATACCTCCAGAGATTGCTATTCCTCCTTTCTTTAGAAAAATATATACAGGCTTTATACATCTATGTCACTCTTTAACTAAATTATTATGCGCATAATCTTCATACTTTCACACTTATCGAGTAATAAAAATATTGTACAATCTATGTTATAGTCCGTTGAAACAATTGTAATATCAATAGCCGTCCAAATTTTCATGCAGGCTCGGTTGCGAAGAATGTATAATCTGAAAGAAATATAAAATACATTTTTCAGAATCAATTATGAAATTCTCCATTCGCGAATAATGAATACACATACTGTCTGTATACATAAATATAGGTGCGATAGGTTTTATAAGAACAAAATGAGTATGTGTCAACAGTAAATACAAAAGTGAGAAACTTTATTTATTCTTCAACAATATACATTCATGACCATCCATATTTCCCGGCTTAACAAAATCATGTAGTCATCACAATTAGGAATATTAAGAAGTAATTGAACAATCAAAATGCTATACATCAATAAATAAGTTTTCATATAAAAAGAAAAAATATTGAATATATCTCGTTAACCAGCCATAAAAATATTTATATCAAATGCTTATATACATTATTTACTATAAAACATGTAACAATTTCTATAAGACTATACAAAATATTTAAAGTATAATCTATATTTACGGTTGATATACTATTTGGAATGACTTCGGCCCAATAATTTTTATATTTGAAACTGCTACACATACTTTATATGTACTGTGTGATTTTCTACAAGACAAAACAAATTACGCTATATTCTGTAAAAAAGATAAAGTAACTCAGACGTGAAATTCGTCACTTTAATACTGCGCTATAAAATACTATTAAGGATATCATCAGATTAATGAAAATGAGAATGATGAGCCGTATATCAAACGCATTCCAAGCAATAAATATATCAATAAGCTATCTATAACAGAGTAAATAGCACGACGACGGTCCCCTGGCATTTAAAATTCTCGCATTTGAACAAACATGTTCATGGAACGAACATGAACATGGAAAAATTTAGTCTTGTGGAAAGGTCTTGCGACAGGATTGACAGTTCTAAAAGCCTTGCGTCTAGGAGGAAGAGGATTGAATACAGCACCTCTTTGATTATTAGGCTCTGCTAATGCTAGCGCAGGATTTGTTTGTTCGGATGATGAACTGTCTTGTGCTTTCAGTGCACCTAGTTGCAAGGACTTGCCTCTTTCTGCTTTTTCCTGAATAGACTCTAACACCGGTTGAATTGCACCGAGCAACGGTCGTTTGGAAGGTTCTGCAGACCAGCATTGTTCCATTAACGTCCAGCACTCCTCGTCAAAATATGGCAGTCTCTCAGGCCTAAGACCTAATATGAATACATACATGAATACATTGCTTCATATAAGTAGATGAAGGAAAAAACATTAAGATCGCGAGATATGGTAGTGTCCCGTGCCAAGTATAAGCGTAGCTAGAACCGCGCGCGCGAGACCGACCGTGTAGTTTACGCAAATACGCGAGTTGAGAGAGAGACGAGCCCTCAGATTTTCGGATCTCAACAACGGCTGTCCCAACGAACTTCTAAGTGCGCTCAATCGATAGCTTGGGTTCGATTTGCATAATAAAAGTGCTTTTATTTTTATCAATCTATTTCAAATTTGAGATTTACATTATAAAGATTTTAATGTACCATCCCGAATCTTCTTTCCTTTGTCCTTTACAGAATAATGTTTCATACAAAAGTTGTTTAACTCGAAGGGGAACGTAAAACAGAGGCAATGGTTTGATACATACTATACAATACCGGCCAAAATTACATCACTTAAAAATTTTCTGAGCATAATTTTTATCAAAGTGCATCAAATGTGCTCAAAATTTCACAGTGGACACCTGATAACAGATGCATCTTGTACACGAAGGGTAATAAAATTTGACAAGGCACGCCATGATTTTCCAATTTTTCATTCGTTCACTTTAAAACTAGTTATGCTCCAAAAATCAAACGGTGATATAATTTTGGCCTGCGTATGTCAAAGTATAAATATATGAACCTTTTCTTACGCTTGTCCATAATTGCTCTTTATTATGAAATTGTTCAAATGCGTATGGTAATCGAACCTTTCCAGCACAGATGTACCAAAATAAGATGCCAAAGGCATATACATCGACACTACTGTCGTAATGACCGGATAGGAGTTCTGGTGCCATGTGGATTGGCGTTCCCACGATACTACCCGACATCATAGCTTCAGTGATACAAAACCCAAGATCGGTTAGCTTAGCTCTGTTTTCCGTGTCAAGCAAGACGTTCTTTAGTTTGATATCACGATGGACCAGGCCTTGCGAATGAAGATAGCGTATTCCCTCCAGGACGTCTATCGCTATTTGTATACGTTCCAGCCACGAAAGACCGGCGTGTATACCACAGTATAAGTCGCGACTCAACCGATCGCTGATCAGGAGAACTGCAGTGCCCAATCCAAATCCCCCGCCATACGATTGGTCTACAACGGATCCGCGAAGCTTCACTATCCTCTTGTGATCTGGTATCGATCTGGTATAGTAAACTTCCATCGCGAGATCGTTCCAGTGCCTCTCGTCTGGTGGAACGACGGATTTTACCGCACATGGTCCCGGAGCTCCGCCCCAACCATCGCAGGCAAACACCACACCGTACTGCCCTCTGCCAATTTCCTTGCTGTAATGAGGAATGCCGAAACGAATCGCGTCCATCATCGACGTGGACTCCAACGCGAGTTTCGCCAACTTGGGCGCGTGATACTTTCGTATAGCTACTCTCTGCTCCTCGGTTCTCTCTAGCTTCCCCGAATAATAGTTTTCTAAAGACTTCAAGGCAGTCTGGAAGGCATCGTGTGACGATTTTAGTTTGTCTCTAAACTGGGTGGAAATTGTCTTTGCCAATCTCGCTGCCGACAAAGAATTCAGAACATCGACGGTGACTTTCCTCCTCCAAGCCGCGTTCAAAGTCGGAGTGGGTGTCCACGGCAGCGGCAAAGATTTGAAGAGCTGCCTCAACCTTTCCAAGAACGAGTGCACCAACGACGGTGACGAGTTGTGCAATTCCACATTGTACGCCGCGGAAAGTATTTGCTTCAAGGCATCGCTGGCTAGCAGGCTGCTATCGTGCTCATAAGTCTTTTCGAGACTTATCAAGCAACGTTGTAGGGTCCCGATAAAAGTTTCTCGAAGGCAGTTGACCGAGTTAACGAGCTCCTTCGCGACCTTCTCGCCCAGGCGACCCAGCACAAATCGTTGAACCTCCGACGTTGCGACACGAACAGTAACCGTCCACTCTACCCGCTCATTGTTATCGAAAGGAACAGTTTGACACTGGTAACTATCATCGGTGGACTCTAATATATCGTCCTTCATCTCCTGAATAATACATTGTATTAATTCAGTTAGTTCCATCTGCTGCTCATTAACAACCTTCATTAGACTAGCATAGAGTTCGTTTTCTTTTTGTTGGGCGTACTGTATCCTTCTAGGAGTGATCTGTATCTTTCGTGCCATGTCAAACGCACTTAAAATAAATTTACGTAGACTGGTCGTATGTATTTCATTCAAATAAGTACTGGCGTTAATCAGATAGCTTTGCAAGCAGGCACGCGTGAAATGTAAAACGCGGTCCGTATTTTTGCATGAATCCACTAGATCGCTCGAGTTATTAACGTATCGCTCGCCGACGAGCCACGTTAACTGATGAACCTCCACAGACTCTTCCATCCCTAGGAATCCCAGGCTGCTCAACTGGTCTAGCCACGTAAGACCGAGTGAATTCATTTTGTCAATATTAATACTATCATCACTCCTAGGCTCTTTAGACACGCTCGGCACTTCTATTCGATTTTGCAGACTGTGCTGCTCAGACTCAGTCAATTCCGCGTCTGTGCCATCCAACAAGACATTAGCTAATGACGATATGAACAAAATCGGATTATACGGATAAGTCTCTTTCAAATCTCTCAGCTCTTCCAAATTGTCTTCAGCCAACGGTTGCTCCCCCAGGGCATAGAGAAATATGGGTAAAACTTTCAACGAGCCTTTAGCAAGAATTTTTACCACGCCATTGTTGGGGACGACAAATATCTGAACGCCTTCTCTCAGTATTGCTTGATCTAGCTTCACCTCCAGCACCGTGGGGCAATTGATATCTTCGTTTATTGACTTCTCTAGATCTTCCAGGGGAAGCGTGCTCCATGATTTCTCATTCGCCCGCAACGTCTCGACCACTTCGTATTCTAAACCTAAAGTAAGACTGACATGATTCGTGCGACCATAAGTGAACTTGACCCATCTCCACGAATCGTTGGACAGTGGCAAAATGTCGGTGGAAAGCAGATTATTGATCAGCGAAGCCTTGGCTTTATTGTCTTGCCCAAAAATGACTATTGCCGGTGAATTATCAAGGATGTGCGTCACTCTGTCCAAGGTCAACGGTGGCAGCAATTCCTCGATAATATTCTCTACAAGAAATGTCACATATAAATAAGGCCAGTCGACGGCGTAACAGCCTCAAGTAAAGTCAAACGTTACCTCCGGGGAAAAAGTTTTCAAGCTTTATAACTTCTAACGTACGCTGCGTCTCCTCGAGTATATGGCGTAGCTGATTCCTGTTCCGCTGATACCTCTTGAATTCTTGTGGTAAATTGCTTACCATTTTTCTCGCATTATTTTAGTCATGTATACATTCCACAAAATGGTCAGACCCTATCAATATTATCGTACAATTAATAAAACCACAAGAAGCCATATAATCACGTAGAAACAGACTCGGGGGCATAAACACTACTCATGGCTGCTTTCCAGCAAGAGACACAGATTGACACGGTGCGACACAGATAATTATTTATCCTCGTTTAATAACGGCAAACAGCGAAGATAAAACGACTCACTGTTACACAGTGCCGCCCCGTGCGTGTGTGTACGTTGCTGGAAAGCACCCTGCGCTAAATGCTACATAAACCGGTATATACATCTCTCGAGTTCTCAATGAAACGCGGAATAGGTTATATAGCATGCAAATCCGTTATTCCCGTCGGCGCGTATACGTGCAAAACCGCAGAGATGCAAACAACGTCCGCCGAAGATCTGAATCACGTCCAAGAATAGCGACCCGCGCTCGCCTGTGCGCCGATGAAAAATCCCCGCGTTTTATCAGACGCGAGGGATAACACGCGGCGCGGCGGCGAGCTGTCATCGTGTCGTCGCTCCGCGCGCGCGCGAGAGAACCGCGACACTTCGTCCGCGTCGCCGTCGCGGGTCCCAAGGCCGCGGAGCGTTGTTGCTCTCCGCGCGAACGAGATCTCGGGCTCCCTCACCAGCGTAAGATCCCTCGCGGTCACGGCCATACGAGCGCAAGGAGAAGAACGCCGGATCCGCCGGGTCATCCGAGCGCAGGACAATCCGGACGAGACGCAGCTCACGCGGGACCGCCGTGTACCGCGTATCGGGACACTCGAGACACTCGAGACGCACATCGCCGACGCATGCTGCCGACTGAACTAGCGGTCAGGCGGTCACTAGCCGGGCCGGGGGCCGGGGGTGTTCTCGAGAAGTCGAGAACGGCTGGCTGGAGCGCGCGCTGCTCGTCGCCCGTCAGCGCGACGCGCTCCGCTCTTTCCGGCAGGGAGGATCAGCGCATTCTTTTAGGAGGTGACGGACCTGAGTCACCGCTGCGACACACACATTCCGACTTTCTATGCGGTCAAGCTGCCGCTACAAATGCTTCGAAGCGGTTTTCTTCTCTTTCGATCTTTTATGAAAGAAACCAGAATCAAAGTTGAGCGACGTTTGGTGAAACCGGGCCTGAGGTCTGATTTCACCAAACGTCGCTTAACTTTGATCCTGGTTCAATTCGTGCTCGCCTCTTTCGAAAGTAACAGTCGGAAAGAGACAAGCAATGTAAGTAAACTAAGCTCGAAGTTAAGCAACGTGGGTGAAAGCGGGCTTAAGAATTAGAAAAGGGTGAAGAGTAAGTTAAACCGAGACTAAAAGTTAATCCGTACTGATAGAAGCGGGCATTAGTGTCCCATTCTTGTAGTAATTCCCATCTCCTCTTACGATTGAAGCCGACTGTTGCTCTTCGCGCGAAGACAGATGTCATTTTATCGAGAAGAAGAAACGCTGCGCTCTTGGCAACGAAGGCGCGATAAGGTACGCCCGTCGTCTCGAGCTTTATTTATACGCGCGCTGCTGCTAACTACTCGTGGGAATCGATGGGAGCCGCTTATCAGCAGCTTATCAAATTAGGATAGCCATCTCTCGCGAAAGAGGGGACGTGTCACGTGTCGGCTGTCAGGCCGACGTTCCTCGCGACTCCGGTTTACAAGAAGAGATAGCCATCCCGCAAGAAGTTGCCGGTAATTAATTCGATTGACGCCGTAATTGCAAAGTTAAATGTTTATTGAGCCGATCGTGTAAGTATATCGAGACGTGCACAAATGTATAACTGACGACTTACGATACGCATTATCTTTTCGACGACTCCTCTCGGTCGCGACGCCGAAGCTCTAGTAACGCACGGGCCCCACTCGCACACTCTCCCTCTTTCTCGTCCGGGCGATTCCGAATATTCTTATCCGATTACGTTCGCGATCGCAATCGCGTCGCCGCTTAAATATTAATCCCAGGATATGAATTGCTAAACGCGGACGTGTCGATGAACGTTCGCGTTTCAGTGGGGCGGCGCACTGTTCCGTTAATATGTACGCGCGGTAGCGTCATTCGCTGCGATTAGGGATAGCCGCGAGAGCCGAGAAAGGAGAACGTAAACAAGGCTCCCCTGTTCGCGCGCAGATAATGCCGTTCGTCGCGCCGGTCGCGCGGCAGCGACGTAGACGCGCTTGGCACTTTTTAAGAAGCCGAGCCTCCCGCGCTAATCTTCCCGCTCTATTAAAAGTCCCCCTCTTGCCCCTTCGAATCGACCGATAAGAGATAATCGCGTGGCCCGCGACTAAGGCCCAACTATCGCTTAGCTTTAAGCTTAATTCGTTCTTTGTCTCTTTCCAACTGTTACTTTAGAAAAAGACAAACATGAATTAAACTGAGCTTAGAGTTAAGCGACGTTGGTGAAACCGGGCCTAAGGGCCAATTTCACAAACGTCGGTTAACTGTTAACGAGAATTCAGTGTCAACTTCCTTCCTTTTCGATCCAGTCTTATCCAAGAAGAGACAGATAATCGATTACTTTCGGTTAGCAGTTAACAGACATTTGTGAAACTGGCCCTAAAGCCCGTATCAGACTACGGATTGGGATTGGGATTAGATTGAAATTTAACCAATCACAGTAAAGTTTACTAATCTCAAGTTCAGTAACTTTTACTCTGATTGGTCAAATTTCAATCTAATCCCAATCCCAATCCGTAGTCTGATACGGGCCACCAAGCGTCGCTTAACTTCAAACTTAGTTAGATTCGTTCTTTGCCTCTTTCCAACTGTTACTTCCAACCTGTTACTTTACAAAGAGACAAACATGAATTAAACTAAGCTTAAAGTTAAACAACGTTGGTGAAACCGGGCCTATAAAGGAAAATGTAGAGTTTCGCCAACGCGCGAATCCGCGGCGGATCGCAAGAGTCGCTCCTCTCCTCGGGTGACTTTGACCGAAACTTGATTAAACTTAATCGGCGATTAATTCGCTCGGCAGAATTGAAATTTCTAGCTACATATATAATTCCGTCGACAATTTCCCTAATCTAATCTCCCTTCTCGCCGTATCAAACTGCAAAAAGTTCGCAATTCCTCGGATAGCCAAATCTCTCCTCGAGGACGGATTTTGCAGAGTGTTACAGTGTTTGGGTGCTTTTCAGCAAGAGACACAGATTGACGCAGTGTAAATACAGAGAATTATTTTATCCTCGTTTAATAATGGCAAACAACGAAGATAAAACGATTACACAGTGTCGCTTGTATACGTTGCTGGAAAACACACATTGCTCTGCAAATTTTGTCAATGGAGTGCCGTAAGAAATGTAATGAAATCTACAAGTGGCAAACTGATGGCTTGTAGAAACCGAGCAAAATCTGCTCGGAGTACGAAACGACAGATTTTCTCCTCGATTTCTGCTAAAAATCTGCTGTCAAATTATGTCGGCGGGCTCTGCTAATAGAACTGTGACTTTAGTGCAGACGCGGTTGATACTTGAGTACCAAGTTCTGGGCAAATCCGACAAACTGCTAATATTTCACTTCTCGCGTTGCTTCTCTCCCAAATAGCATCAGTGATCGTTTATAGGAACTAAAAAAGGGACTCCCTTTAAAATTTTTTTTACGAAATTACGAAATCTTGTTCGAAATCAACTCAGAAAGAATTCCTCTCCGCTGCGAATTCTGAGCACTTTTCTAAATACAAAGTTAATTTTTTTAATACTTTATAAAAATTCGCACCGGAAAGGAATTCTTTTATTAGGGTTCATTTTGAGCAGATTACGTTAATACAGAAAAAGAATCTAAGAAAGTGATTTTTTTTAGGTTCTAATGACTACCTGAATTAACATAAGTACAAAATATTGATACTACCTTACTAGTCTTGTAAATGCTTAAATCTCATTAAGTACATACTGTGGGACCATTTAGAGAATCAAATGTTATAAAACTATTGTCCAGTGAAGCATTGTCCAAATTTGGCAGAGAACAGACATAAAACTATCAAAGTTAGACGTATGTGTGTGTGCGTGTGTGTTCTCTCTATTATCAAAGAACGACAGCATAATTATTATGAATAAAATCTTATCGTTGCATTACGTGCATTACTTACTGCACAACTTCAAAAGTTGACTAGAACTCAGGAACACTTTTGTATTGTATATTTAGTAGCTTCACAATTCACAAAGGTTTCAAGCACTTTACATATACTTGATCACATTATTATTTATTAAAATCACTCTCTCTCTTCTCTTTCTTTAAGTATCGTATACTTAATTTAAAAAATGTTTTATGTAAAAGCACGTATACTATAAAATTATATAGAAATATACAATATAAAAATGGACATATTGATGTACATTTTTATATAATTCTATATATTTATTCATGTTCATGCATGAAAAATGTTTTACCGGGCAGGTATTCTTCAAAACGAATTCTCTACGAACTTACATTCACCTCTGTGCTATCTGGGTATTCAGTCTATTAATAGACTCATTAATATGAATTCATGCTAACAAAATGCTGCAGATGTATATTCTGAAAAATGTATCATACATCAAGTCCCAGTAGTCCATTTGCGATTTTATTTTGTCACGCCTATAATTTATAATGATATTTATAATCACCATATTGCATTTCGCAGTTCTACGTATTTGCATTTCCGCGAACATATTCACGCGATAAAGAAGTGTATTCGGCGAATTCATGTCTCTTAGATTCACGCTGAGATTATTTAATTTATATTCTACAATCGGGCCTCGCGAATGCGCGAATAAACCCATGTCAGCAAAATGTTAACCGGCGAGTTGATCCGCTCTTATATCCGTTTTCTACCGACGCAGTTTAACTTTAATCTCGGTTCAATTAATTTACTTTGTACCTTTTTCTAGTTTTACGAATTGGAAAAAGACAAGAAGTAATTTAAGCCGAGATTAAAGTTAATCTGCATTGGTAGAAACGGGCATATATACAGGGTGGGGCAATAACTATTAGGACCTTAAATATCTTCGAATCTATATAAGTCCCAGAAGAAGATTTGTGTAACCAAAATTTCACGGTACGAAGGGGGCTATTATAATAGCGATAATATTTTTGTCCAGGTGGAGGCGCTTTGGAGATACCAAGGTCATCTTAATTTTTTTAAATGGATCCGATATGTTTTTTTTCCATAATATGTTTATTCATTCAATGATATTATGCCGTGAGTTCTGAACTTGTATCAAGCTCCTCTATCATATTATGGAAAAAAAACATATCGGATCCATTTAAAAAAATTAAGATGACCTTGGTATCTCCGAAGCGCCTCCACCTGGA